CCCGTGTGATTTCACTCTGCAAAATACATTTTTTAGTATTTCACAAAAGCAGGACTCGTGTTTCAGAAAGTTTTTTTTTAATGACTTGCAAATCCCCATCCATAAGTTCTATCTATCAGCGCATATCCCAGAGCTTGAGGTAATAAATGGAGGGCTACTTTACCTCACCTCAGTTATCCCAGTCTCTATCATGAGAGATAGCAGGAGAGGGAAAGAAACTCTGATTGAGAAAACAGACAAGAGAGGAATTCATCAAGTCCTTCAAGGAGAGAGACACTTGTGGTGTCTGAGTTAAGTGGTCCCACCACTTGGAGTAGAAGTCAGCAGTAAGGAGAGACACACTTGGTCCCAGTGCCTCATTCTTCCCATCTCGTCTTTCAGAGTCCCTGGGCCTCAGGCTGGTGAGTGATGACCACGACTGTGCTGGGTGGCTGGAGATCTTCTACAACGGGACATGGGGTAGTGTCTGCAGGAGCCCAATGGAGTCCATCACGATGTCTGTCATCTGCAGACAGTTGGGTTGTGGGGACACTGGAGAACTCAACCCTTCTGCTGGTATCAGGACAGTGTCTCAGCCCCTGTGGGTGGATGGAATCCAGTGTCAGAAAAGTGACTCCATCCTGTGGCAGTGTCTTTCTGATCCTTGGAACAATAGATCATGCTCTCTGAAAGAAGCAGCTTACATTGTTTGCAAAGGTGACCTTTTATCTTATTTATCTGAATTTGATACTATTCTGTATAGAATCACTGTGAGTTGGAATTGGCTTGATGGCAGTGGATTGGGTCTGGTTTAGGGTACATTCATGGGAATAAAAAGCATTTCAACCTACTTATAACTATTGAGTAAATATGTTGAGAAGGAGAAGTGTCACTGTGAAAAAGAAAACATTTAAACAAAATTGGTCTAGAGAAAGAAATACTTTTTTCTATACTGAGAGAGAGTGGAGCAATGTAGAAAGAAATATGTGACATGTTTCCTCTTTACCTGTTTAGTGGATCTAACAGGTGAGTCCACAAGTGGGCATAGCCTAGAGTATGGACAGGTTCCCAGTGGGTCCCAGGGCAGAGCGGGCCAAAAGAAATGATCATTTATTGAGCATCTACTGTGTTTTCTGTGAAGTCCTGGTGAGGCACTGTGGGATAATACACTCGACCAAGATCAAACTGACCAAGGTCAGTTTGAACCCCAAGGTCAGTGGTTCAAATTCACCAGCTCCTTGGAAACCATATTCAGGGTTGCTATGAGTCAGAACCAATTCCAAGTCACTTAACAGCAGCAACAACTGTGTTTACTAAGGTGTTGTTGTTATGTATCCTTAAGTTGGTTCTGACTCAATAGCAACTACATGCACAACAGAATGAAACACTGCCCATTCCTGTGCCATCCTTTTGTTGTTATGTTTGAGACCATTTTTGCTGCACTGTGTTAATTCATCTCTTTAGCATTCTTCCTCTTTTTCTCTGACTCTCCACTTTTCCAAGCATTATGTCCTTCTCCAGGAATTAGTACTTCCTCATAACATGTTCAAAGGACAATAGACAAAGTCTCACTATCCTTGGTTCTAAAGAGCATTCTGGCTGTACTTCTTCAAATATGAATTTATTTGTTCTTCTAACAGTCTATGGAACTTTCAATATTTTTTAACATCACCATAATTCAAACACATTGATTGTTCTATATCTTCTTTATTCATTGTCCACCTTTCACAGACATATGGGGCGATTGAAAATATCATGGCATGTGTCAAGTACACCTGAGTCCTCAAATTGATGTCATTGCTCTGGAACACTTTTTAAAGGGTCTCTTTCAGCAGATTTCTCTAATGCAGTACGTCTTTTGATTTCTTGACTTGGCTTTTATGAGCACTGATTGTGGATCCAAGAAAAATGAAGTCTTTGACAAATTCAATCTTTTTTCCATGTTTCATGATGTTATTTATTGGTCCAGTTGTAAGGATTTTTTTTTTTCTTTACTTTAAGGTGCAATCCACAATGAAGGTTGTAGTTTTTTTATATTTATCGTTAAATATTTTAAGTCCTCTTTGCTGTCAATAAGTAAGCTTGTATTCTCTGCATATGACAAGTCGTTCATGAGTGTTCTTCCAATCCTGCTGCCATGCATAATTTCTTGCATAATTTACACAGTATACAGATTGAATAAGTATGGTAAAAGAATACAACAACCTTGACATACAATTTTATTGATTTTAAACCATGCAGTATCCCCTTGTTCTATGTACAGGTTCCTCCTGAGGGCAATTAAGTGTTTTGAATACTCATTCTACACAATATTTTTTATGATATACACAGTCAAAACCTTGCATAGTCAATTAAAACACAAGTAAACCTCTTTCTAGAAGTGGTGCTGTAGGCTAAGCACTCAGCCAAAAGGTCAGTTTGAACCACAAGCTTAGTGGTTCAAACTCATCAGCTGCTCCTTGGAATACCTATAAAGGACCGCTATGAGTTAGAACCAACTCAATAACATTTAATAACAACAAACATCTTTCTGATAACTCTCTGCTTTTAGCCAAGAGCCATCTGATGTCAGCAGTGGTATCCCTAGTTCCATGTTCTCTCTGAATCCCGTTTGAACCACTGCAATCATTTTTTAAATTATCTTCAGCTAAATTTTGCTTGTATATGATATTAATGATATTGTTTGATCATTTCTGTATTCCATTGGGTGACTTTTCTTTGGAATGGGCACAAATATGGATTCCTTCCAATCAGTTGGCTAGGTAACTGTCTCCATAATTCACTGACATAAACTAATGAGTATCTCCAGCACTACATCAGTTTGTTTAAAGATTTCGATGTGTATTCCATCAATTCCAGTAGTCTTAGTTTTCATCAATGCCTTCAGTGCAGCTTGGACTCTTCCTTCAGTACTATTGGTTTTTGGTCATATGATACCTCTTGAAATGGTTGAACATTGACAAATTATTTTCGGTACAGTGACTGTATAGTCCTTCCATCTTCTTCTGATGCTTCCTGAGTCATTCAGTATTTTGCCCAGAGAGTCCTCCAATATTTCAACTTCAGGCTTGAGTCTTTTTCTTCAGTTCTTTCAAATTGAGAAATTCTGAGTGTATTCTTTCCCTTTGGTTTTCTAACTCCATATCTTTGGATGCTGTAGTTTTTATGTGCTGTTGATTCAGTTCTGACTCATAACCACCCTGAATAGGGTTTCCGAGGAGAGTCTATAGGTTTGAATCACTGACCTTGTGGTTAGCAGTCCAGTGCTTATCCTATAGCACAACTTCAGAATGCCAGGCAATTGGATACTTTATTATAATACCTTACTTTGTCTTCTTGAACTGCGCTTTGACATTTTCTGTTCAGCTCTTTTACTTCATCAATTCTTTCATTTGCATTAGCTACTTTATACTCAAGAACAAGGTTCACAGTCTCTTCTGGCATCCACTTTCATCTTTTCTGTCTTTCTAGTGACCTTTAGCTTTTTTCATGTATTATGTTCTTGATTTCATCCCACAAGTCCTCTGGTCTTTGGCTATTAGTGTTCAGTGCTTAAAATCTCATCTTTAAATTCAGGTGAGATATACTCAAAGTCATATTTTAGCTTTTGTGAATTTGTCTTAATTTTGTTTAGCTTCAGCCTATATTTGCATATGTGCAATTGATGTTCTGTTCCATAGTCTACCCTGGCTTTGAATTGACTGATGACATTAAGCTTCTCCATTCCTCTTCAGTTTGTCATTCCTGGCATAGTAAATTCTTTTTCATGGATACACTCAATCTTCAATGTTTGTAACTTTTTTTCATTACAGCCATCTCCCTTATGCCAGTAATTTATTGATTATCTGTTTAAGTATCCTGGCCTATTATTGCATTCACTCTGTTGCCACCTTCTACTCTTTGCCATCGTTTTCCTTTATGAAACTTACTTAGCTAATATGTAATCCTTGGAAAAATCTACTATCTGCACATTCTTTCCTTCACCCAAAAAGTTGAACTACACTGGTGGAAAGTGCACATAAATTATTGGTTTCACATTAAGGTGACAAATAAATCCTTAAAGGTCAACTAGCACTCCTTCACTCTCCTCCTATGCATCCTTAGTGGCTTTGTTCTCCAATCTTCAAAATTGATACTTTATTTCTTCTCATTTTGTCTCAAATTACCAATAATTGGTCCCACTGCTCATTGTAAACTGAATCTTCCTCACTTCACATTAAGAGAATAAGAGTGATTGGATAGAAGCATTCACATCCTTCTTCCACGGCATCTACCAACCCCTGGTTCCACGCCAGCATTCTGTCTTTTCCTCTTCTGAGTGAGGAATACACCCTTGTTTCTTCTTTGAGTCGTTTTCACACTTACTCTCTACATTCTTTCCTCTCTTGTTTTCTGAAGAACTTTGATTCTAAATTTGACAGTGTTGATATTTCTTCTGCTTTCAACCCACTTTTTTCTAGGGTTTCCTGAAACCAAACTCCTCTAAGGTTTCTTTCTTCCTGCCTCACCAATTGGTGTTCTCAGTAGCTTTGTTAGTGTCTCTTTCTATGCTCAACCTTGAAATATTTCAGTCTTAGAAGTTCAGTTTGGAGCAAACCATAATTCAACATCTATGTTCTTTTTTTTTTAACTTCCTATTTCCATTTTTGCTTGCCTCTTGAGACACCAGGTTCATGCAAACTGATCAAGAGAATTGCTAGAGAGGGCCTTGAAACTGGCTTTATCTACAGCTCCTCAAGCCACTTGAAAGGTTTGGTTTAACAAATCTTTTTGAGGAAATGAACCCCTAGTACTGAAATGAATCTTCACACATTCCTGAGATACCTGATTAAAGCTGTGTGAACCTACACCTGTGAGGTTTTATCATCCCACCTGAAAGCTATAAAAATAAGATTGAGAACTCTGGTAATTAGTTCCTGAAATCAACACTGTAACTCTTTATAGTCAATCATCAAGCCATCCAATCAAAGCCTATTCCCAATTCCTAACCCATCCTATTTGCGATCTTAACCAAAAACTAGCCAATCAAATGACCATATTGTATATTTTGTTTGTTTCATGAGCCATAATTTGTCAATTATGTTTCATGAGCCATAATTTGTCAATGTGAAGAAACTTTAGTTAGATTATGGTTCCACTGATGCAGGCTGATGTGTTTCTACATCAGGACATACTATTCCTTATTCTTTTTCTGAATGATTGTTGTCATGTTAGATGCCATGGAGTCAGTTCCAAATCATGTTGTTGTTAAATGTTGTCAAGTTGGGTGCAACTCACAGAGACCCTGTATAGGGTTTTGAGGAGTGAACCACCAGCCTCACAGTTCAAATAGAACTTAAGGTCCAGTACTTACCCTGTAGTGCCACATCACTCCAAATCACAGTGAGTCTATAAACAACAGAATGAAATGCTGCTTTGTCCTGCAACATCTTCATAATTGTTAGGTTTGAGCCCATTGTTGCTGCCACTGTGTCAATCCATCTCGGGGATCTTCCTCTTTTTTGATGACCCTACACTTTACCAAGGATGGCTGGTATCTCCTGATAACACGTCTGAAGTACGAGAGACAAGGTCTCAGCATCTTTGCTTCCAAGGAGCATTCTAGCCAAACTTCTTCCAAGACAGATCTGTTTGTTCTTCTGGCAGCCCATAGTAATTTTAACATTCTTCTCCAACACCATAATTCAAATATATATTGATACTTCAAGGGTCTTCCTTATTCATTGTCCAACTTTTGCATGCATATGAGACTACTGAAAATACCATGGCTTATGTCAGGCACACCTTAGTTTTCAAACTGAAATCTCTGCTCTTTAAGACTTATAGAGGTCTTTGCAGCAGATTTGTCTAATGCAAAACATCCTTTGACATCTTGACTGTTACTTCCTTGAGTGCCAATTGTGAATCCAACAAAAAGAAGTCTTGAGAACTTCAATCTTTTCTCCATTTATCATGTTATTTATTGGTCCAGTTATGAAGATTTTTTTCTTTCTTTGCATTGAAGTACAATCCATACTGAAGGCTATAGTCTTTGAACTCACCAGGATTTAATTTCAAGTTAAATTTTATTTTTATGGACTAAGTTGATATCTCATTACAACAGGCTTCCTTTACAATTAAGTACACAATTTCTTTGCATTCCATTATTTATCTGTCTTTTTAGCAAATAAACATTTGTTGTAGGCTTACTATGACCCAAGTACTATTCTAGGAACTAAACAAATAATGTATTTTTGCCAACATGAATCTCTGATTATGTGGTGTGGTGGCAGTAGGTTTAAAACATTAAAAATAAAAGCATAAATAAAAACTATTTTGAAAAGTTCATGAGTTTTATGAAAATGAAATTATTTGATATAAGCAAAGATATTTGATACACACAGAGCACAGATAGTGTGGTATTGATTTGCAACAGTAAAATTCTAACTGGGACTTACTATTCTAAGAAAATAGGAAAAGGGAGCTGGTAACATCAAGTGACATCACAACATTGCAGTGGAAACTGGTCCCAGCTTCTTAGTTAAGCTAAAAAAATCAGACCCCACTAAGGAGCTCTGGTAGCGTAGTGGTTACAAATTGGGCTGCTAACCTCAAGGTCGGCAGTTCGAAACTACCAGCTTTTCCATGGGAGAAAGATGAGACTTTCTGCTTCCTTAAAGATTTACAGCCTCAGAAACCCTGTGCAGGGTTGCTATGAGTCAGAACCCATTCCACGGCACATAACAACAACAGAATCGGCCCTCCTTAAATGCCCTGAGTCTACAGGGAACTTACCTCTCAAACCTCATACATATTATCTACCATCGTCAAAACTCCCAGAGTATCTTGCCATAGAAGAACTTGCCACCCTAAGTACTTACAATATAAAACAGGACAGAGGTATCCATCACTCTAGAACACACAGAGATCAAGAGTACCAAAATGACCTTCTCTTAGACAATAAAGCACAGGACTGTTGCTGTTGTTGTTCTTGTTGTTGTTGATAAGTGCTATGGAGTCAGTTCTAACTCACAGTGACCCTGTAGAGGGTTTCCAAAGAGCAGCTGGTAACTTTGAACTGCTGACCTTGCAGTTGAAACCGACTTTGAAGCCAAGTGCTTATCCTATGATACCATACCAGGACTCCACAGAAGCATTAGGGAGAGGGAAAATTTTTCATGGTTGTGTGCCTTCATCACTTTATTTTAAAATGCAAAAAGCTCTTAAATCCCACCTCAGCATTGAAAACCACACTAAAGCTCCAAATTCTACACTTGCCTTTTCATGCTTACCTGTTTTCCTTGTAGTTAGTCACAAACCAGTAAATTCTGACTCACTGCTACCCCTGTGTGGAAAATAGAACTTTCTATAGGGTTTCAGAAGCAGATGACCAGGCCTGTCCTCTAAGTTGCCTCTGGGTAAACTAAAAACACCAATCTTTTGGCTAATAGTCAGTCAAGCACTGAACTTCTAATACCACCCAGAGACTCTTCATGAAAGTACCAGTAAAGAAGCAAACTGAAAATGCCAATTTAAGCTTAGTTGTTCACCTGTTAGAATTGATGAGGTGTCTGATTTTTCTGGGCTCCTGATCGGTCCTTCTCTTTGTGCTCTATGGAGCCTTGGGGAG